AGCACGCTCTTTCAACCAATGACAGTGCGCGTTATATCCGAACTTTATTATAACTATTATTAAAAACAAAACAGCACCAAAAGCAAGACCATTTTCAAAACCATTTTATGCTACTTTTTTGGGGGGGTTCATTCTCCACTTGTTCCGCTCCCTTCGCCGACTAATTCTTAGAGATTGTCCTGAATGATATAACAATCCAAAATTAGCATATCAGATCCCAGATGCAATTTCTTTTCATTTAACTTCTTAATTGTTTGCAAGAAGACAAGATGAATATATTCCTATCAAACAAGCTGTCATGTAAAAGGCAAGTTATTGGATTCTTCCTGTCTTGATTCCCTTCGGCGACTAAAGACTCTCGTTTGATAATTATAGTTCCATTCAAATACTACAGTGAGCATGACAATTTATTGATGAGATGGGCAATGAGGAGATGGCTAGTTAAACGTTATTAACGCTCGATCAACAATTTATTTCATTCTTCTTTTATCAAGCATAATTATCACTTATGAACCTATAGTTGCTCTCAGCTACGTCTTAAGCAACTCTTACACATTCTTCGTGCTCTGAAATATTCTCGGCCATGCGTCATATCTTGGTGAACGGACACTGACGTACGAATCAGTTGTTTAATAAACCTGTCAGCGTTGTGTTTAAGTTTTATTCACGACATTTTCTCTTTACTTTTCTAAACTACTTAACTGCTAAACAGACATATGTGGATCGCAACCAGCTATTTCTCTCAACTTGTAAAGTCTAATTTAAGTTCAAATTAGTACTTGCAGTCAATTCCCTTGGCAAACAGAAAGACACGGGTTATAGATTGTACTAGCGGTACATTAAGATATATTGTCAATTTAAGGCCTATTATCAAATGGAAATATTCTTTTAATGTCGTGGTTGATGCTGAATTGCAGAAAACCTTTTTAAAACGACTTGAAAGAAAATCAGGTGAGAGCGACAATTAGTCGAGAGCGACAATTAGCCGCTCGGAGGTGATAGACGTAGAATAATGAAACTAAAAACAACTAGAGGATGAAATAATGACATGCTGGATATATAACACCACTATAAATAAAATATTTATAAATGTGAAGTATATGATTCATTCGAAATCCCTTTTTCGCAATAATCATATAATTTCAGAGAATCGATCCATCTGAAAGAAAACTAACAGGCAACGATGGTCAATTTTATTTCATGCACTTTCTTAAACTATGTTAATACATACCAGTAACAAAAAACAGTCACATATTGATAAGAATTCCGGACATTTTTCAGAAAACAGAACAAATTTCGAGAGTGACACTTGACCAGTTTGTTTGGCAATACGGCGTACATCGAAGTCCTCTTCAGGAAACAAAATATTGGAATTTCACTCTTTTGCTGTCGTAAAATTATTTTACCTCGCCAACTCTGTTAAACTACTCTTATCCGATGCCTTCATATGTTGTTAAGTGGAGTAAACATGTGAGAGTATAGTACGTGCACATCTTTCCTTTGGTTATTTTTTTTTCTCTATATTATACTTACATATGTACTTACACTATACTTACTTCTTACACGATGCTTACACTACATTAACCTGTACTACTTACAATACATATATTACAATACAATTACACTTTTCTTTGGTTATGACTTGTTGCATTCACGACAAACTTCAGTAGCCGGAAACATTGTTTCAAAAGATGTTATTCGTGTTTCCATTGCCTTTCATTCAGTTTTTTACGTGCGGAAAAAATATATTTACAAGCCTCGAGGAGCGATTTTTTAGAACTACTTATTTCCTCTAATCCAGTGACATATTTGACACTGAAGCATTCTGAGAAGGGGTTGTGACTAATTAAACGTCAGCCTTGAAGGTGTCTATTTGAGTGTGGCCTAAGACGAATTTAACTCTATAGACAAAGTGTTTGTCTGATTGTCTGCTTTACTGCTTGTTTTACTTCACCAATCCTCCAGCAAAAAAGAAAAGGATTTAAAGAGGAGTCAAAGTGGGCAAAAACTACCAGAATGTCTTTACTGACGATGAGATGTGATGAATATGACTTTCTTAACATGATCATAGTTACCACAATATCATATGGTGCATAACAAACAACTAAAGCAAGCTGCACCCACAGTGCACTGTACACTGCCTTTCTGTATCTTGCGATGTTCAGTGCATTTGGTTGGCCTGGCTGCTGTTGAAAACGATCTTGTACTCGAGCCTGTTGATGCCTGAGAGTGCGAAAAATCTTTGAGTACAATGTGATTGAGATCACTAGACAAGATGGTATAACTGTACAACCAAAAGAAAGGGTTATGCGGTGATCTAAAATGTAGCATAAAGCGGCGACAACAGATACAATCCAAAAGGTAGTTGTAATGATACTTGTGCGCTTCAACGTTACAATTTGTCTGTATCTCAGCCCTAACAACAGGGCCAGAAGTCTGTCCACGCTTATGGCCGTTATTGTCAACAAAGACACTGAATACAAGGTAAAGCCTGTTATGCAGGCGGTGTAGTATGTATATAGACAAAGACTCCGTTGTTCGTAAACTAAGGACATCCAATAAGTAGCATAAAGAGGCTGAGTAACAAGACCAACCAACAGATCAGTTATTGCCAGACAACGATATAAGAGCTTGGATGGCGGACAAAGGGAAGACTCCTTGCGAAGGGCAACAAGAATGAGAAAATTCCCAAGAAACGCAGTGACTGAGAGGAACATGTTGACTGCAGCGAGATAAATTGATGGTTGTTGTAATCCATCGGCTGAAGAAGGGGAACATGCCAGTTCTTGGATTGTTTTTATCTTAGACCCACCATCTGTAAAATTTGTTGTCGCCATAATTCTGCTATCGTTTTCTTTTTTACCGCGGTTTATCTGGGCAGCCCAGCTATGATCACTAAACCTTGTTTTCTTGAGAATGATGACCTACAGACTTCCTCAGACTCCTCAGTAGTTTGTTTTCTCTAGAATGCACGAAAAAGCTGTCTGTGGTGTCAAACAAATGTAAATTTGTTCCTTGAATTTGTTAGATATATACCTCATCAGCTACGACTAAACACTGAGAGGCAAACACTAAGACATCTGGTAGGACATATGTTAATTGTACGACAGAGAAAACCTTCTTTACTTGGTAAAAGTTAATTGAGTATTGACATCAAGATGTCGTATATCATTCTCAACCTTAGGTCACTGAAAATTAAAAAAACTCACATTTTAACGGGGTACGCGGCCTAGGAAATTTTTCTTCGACGTGAATACATAACAGAACATAACGATTAACTAATAATCGCAAAGAGAAATCGCTTAATGGATTGTGACGCAGACCAAATAACACGCGTAAGACTTGTCTTTTTCAGTTCCAGTTTATTTAAGAAAAAGACCGCACTTTCTATCAGTTTACCGGCGTAATAACCCAACAAGATGTTGGGAGAGCGTGAGAAAAGTTTGTAAATCAAGCGCCTAAGTGCACGATCACTAAAGCGACAATCGTGCCGAATTGCCGATCGTAGGTGATGAGGGGTGACTCAAATGAACCTACGCCCGAAGGCAATGGTACGGTCAAAACCTTTAGAGTCGACGAAAATAGAGTGCACTTGACTTCTTCCTGCAATCGACCATGTGAGGCAGAATTTACAAGCTGCGTTAGAAGAAGACTGAGAACAGCAATCTCCGAAACAGAATCAAACTTTGAAGTGCCGACTGTTTTCAAGAAGGAAGCCCCGAGTAGCTGCTGTTCTCATTGGCTTACTTATATAGAAAACACATAATTTTTAGCGTGTGAATCTTATATGTAGTTAAAAAAATGAATCTTTGAATTTTTCGCCAACCAACGTAGGAGCATAGAAGAAGGCAATATTCTAAGTAGCGAGGTGGTTCAGAAACAGAAATGGCGATAACTTCCAGAGGAGCCACTTCGCCTGTTGATCAAAAGCCTTGTAACATCATTATCAGATGACACCCTAGTTAAATTAAGGTAGGCGTTAAGATGTATTTTTTCCTTTATTTCATCATTAATTGTTGCATAAAATGGAATTCCAACTTTTTTCTTTACCTTATACAGACGGACGGTCGTAAGGTTACGTGACAAACCAAACTTTCTCGGCATGATGGGTCCCCACGATTTATGTTAAGTATAGGGCATCGCTGCGCGCGCTACGAGCTCCGCTATAATTATTTCACAGCATCCTTCTGTCTTCTATCGTTCAGAGATTTATCAGTTATTGTGATGTCAGGAAACGATACTTTATTTCGGGAAACGTTTCAAAATCTTTAAAAAAGTACTCACCCTAGTGTTGTGATTTACATACTTGTCTAGAGCACGGAAATGGTAAGTAACAACTTTGTTCCCGCTATTTATTTGAATAGTTACCGCACGTAAGATGATTTCATTAAACCGATTACTTACACTCCTAAACATAATTAGTTGCGTCACTGCTCTGAAAGAGGGTCCATGATGTTCTTTGCCCCTCTCCTTCATTCAATGCCAACAGACCAACATTGAGAGGGGAAGGGTAGACAGTAGGTATCCCAACAAATGTTTCTTGCAGTCTAGCTAAGATCATTTTTTTCTGCCTAACTATTTGTAACCAGCTAAATTTGTACTCATCTTCATGTCAGCTACACTTCATTTCAGTTCCATTCGACAAACCATGCTATAATACATTTTTACGCAACTTTGCTTTCCTATTTGTGTACTAACTGCAGGGATTGACTGTCCTGACGATTTTTCACCGGACAGTGAAATCATCAAATATTCTAATAATTATTCGCTATCGATATTATCTACAAAAATGTTTCACTTATTTTCTTGTTGTTGAGTAATCCCAACCAGTGTTTCAGGGAGATCTGAGTACGTTTTTAAAAAATACTTGACCCTGTTCTTTTTCATTACACAAGATTCTCTTTATCTTGCCAGCACACCTGGAGGATACATTTTTCCCTTCCATTAGCTTTTTAAAAATAACTTATTAAATACTTAGTATGTCATTTACGAGGAATTTCCCTCGTCTATGATATTTGTTCCATTTCCTTTAGGTCAGGGGAAACCTGCAAATGGTGAAAAAAAAATAAGTAACAATGTTCAGGATAATTTGAAAGAGAATTACTAAAAGAATTACATTTAACCCTTTACACTGCAACATGAGTATGAATATTCTCCATACAGTTCCCCATACATGTCCTTAGAACTTAATAAATACTTATTCGGCGCAAATATCTATATGAATATATTCAGATGCGCCTTACAAGTTACAAACCCACCCAGCCCAACCCAGGGGAGGACATCCATCACACAGTAATCTCGTGCGTGGGAAATTAACGTCTCCTACCCCAAACCCTGCAGGAGACGGGACCTCCGGCTTAACGTCTTATCCGAGAAGACGAAGCAAGGTGAGTGAAGCGACTTGCTTAAGGCCACAACGTAGTGCCCCATCCAGGACTCGAACCCGGGCCGTCCGACCCAGAGTCCAGCACTCTGACCACTGGGCCACTCGCGCCTCACAACCCTGTACCTTGTCCTAGGGTTCTGACAAGGAGAATTAGTTTAATAATCAAGAGCTTCTTTGGTTGGTGATAATTTCCTCTACTCTTGTGACCTTGTTGCGTCATTCAGGGGTGATGTTGTAAGTATAAATCAGATGCTTGTCACTCTTAGGAATCAAAGGTTTAAGGTCGCTGAGGCAAAAACAACTAGCTAAACTTTTAAAGACTTTCCAGTAAAAAGGAATGGAGGAATGGCAATAGCTAAGCATGGCTAAGATCGAAGCAAATTTGTCGTCTAGATTGACGGCAAACGATAATGATTTATGACGAGAATGTCAAACATTATACCAAAGACATTGATAACAATGAAATCAACAACAACGACAATAAAAATTCCAGAGATTTAAGGATCGTGCTCACTTGGAAGGTACATCCAGTGGAAATTTGTATATCTTGAATAGATACTCCAGGCCATAACTCTGTCAGTATGAGACCATTCTCTTTACTTACTTCAAATACGCACTGAAAGTCAAATACATAAATAAAAAAATATACGGAATTCACAAATCCATCATCGTACGAAGGCATTGCGTCGACATGCAACTCCTCGAAGTTTGCAAAATGTAAGCTTTAAGAACCCAGTTAAATCAATAGCCAGGCTAGAACAAGCCTCCTAAGGCTCAGAAATAGGGCATCCGAAGTACCAATCACAAAGTAATTCGATCAACCTCTGTTTAGACGCACGTGCAATATCTTCTCCTATGAGTTAAATTTTGTCAGCGTGAAAAAATCTCCTTCATCCCTTACAAGCTCACGTTTAAGCTAGTTTTCAGATATAGTAAGGAATTTTTCAGTTTGTCCAGTTTTCCTTCCAGTTTGATTGTTTATTGTCTTTGGTAGACGTACCTTAATATTTTCAGTTTTTTTATGTAGCTAAGATTCGTTAGAGAGATTGGATTTTGAAGCCGGTGGGAATTCCCTGACCGTGCAAAATCTTTTAATAATAAGTTCTGGAAGTATGACTTTTATATAACTAGGACCTTTCCATCGGTCAATTATTTGAAGATGATTGAGGCGCATCAGGTAATATCCTGTAATGCTATCGTAAACATGTATAAAGAAAGGAACCGGTTAGGCTTCTCAACAATTGCACCTAATGACTGTGATTTAGCAAAGCGTTTGAAACCTGCTTTACGATCCGACTCCTTCCTTAACTTGCCTTCGAGTACACAGAAACTCCGATAGGAAACCGTAGATTGGAGCCGAGGTACCGAGGTATTATACCAGGATTTTGCGGTGTATTAATAACAAAAAAAAAGCCACCTTAAATCAACTACCTTTTCGGTGATGATCATGTTTACGCAGTTTGTGCCCGTCAAGGGAAGTGTACACTTTTCCAAGATCTTATGTTTGTCTCCCTGTAGCAGAAAAACATACACATGAACAAGGTGACAATGAATTGTCGCATCATCCACTTTGGATTTTAAATCACAAATTAACTGGTCTTAGGACACGATCGCCAGAAATTGGTCCTGCACTTTTGAGATCTTTTTTTTTTTTGTCGTTTTTCGTTCCTCTTAACCCATTTTTTTTTTTTTTTTTTTTTTTTTTTTTTACTGCAACGGCTTGCAGTCTTAGACGGACCAAAAGGTAAAATTAAATTTAAGCACTATGAGTGCAAGATAGAACACCCACCTTTGCCAGATGTTCCATGGTAACTATAACTTTAGACCCACTGGAAACTAAATCCATGGCACCTCCCATTCCTTTCACCATTTTGCCCTGTCAATCAATCAATCAATCAATCAATCCATCACTCAGATAATTTGTTTTTATTAAAGAGTTTCTAAAGCTGAAGTTTTGAGCTTAGCGCTTCGTCAGAGTGAAATCAGTTTGTTGAAAGCAGTCTGTCAGCCAGCCGATGCGTTTAGTTCTTCTCTGTGCCTGCTTCTTATGGTTACATTTGCTCGTAATGGCCGTCGCAATTGGAGTTATTTTCAGCTAATTTTTGTAAGTAATCAGCCATTGCTTTAGTTTTACTCTGTAATTGGTCGAAAGAACTCACCCAAACATTTCCAACTAATCAGAAACAAAACAAACACCAATCGCTGCTCGCTCGCTTTTATCGACAGGCGCTTCAGGCCGACTACAAGTGACTGAGTTCTCATTTGTTCCTTTTGATATATATTGATATAATTACTTACCGGGATCATCCAATTAGCAATGTCTCCGAACTGTGACACTTGCATAGCTCCAAGAATAGTGATATCTATGTGACCTCTGCAATAAAACAAGACAAAAATCTTTTAACTTTAACCTTACCTTTCCTATAATCTAACCTACTGGTAAGACTCCTTCTGACGTCCTATATCGGATAACAATTTCTGAGATACTTGAGGAAACTGAGAATACGCGAGGTACTGACGAAACAATCAACTAAAGGAGGAAACTGAGCATTCGCGATACTAACGTAACAATCGATAAAGGGAGTGAAATGCGCGTGCGCGAGATAACTAGAGATATCTAGCCTCTATTCTCTTGTAAGCCTGATGACCAAGTTCTTGCCGTTGTTGTTTTTTTATGGCGAAACGTAGTTTAAATTTTACCTCTCAGGCTACATTAATTTTCTTAACTAAGGGAGCAACTCCTACGACCACAGCAACTATATCATACATAAAGGGCATTCTGAGAACATCTCGCGCATCCTACAACCATTCAATATCCGCGTCGCCCACAAACCTATTACCACACTACGTCAATTACCGACTAACGTCAAAGACAAAGACGAACCGAGGAACAGACAGGGAGAAGTTTATACGATCAATTGCTCCGACTGCCACGCCTCCTACATCGGTGAGACTGGCAGAAACCTCACAATTAGACTGACTGAACACAAACGAGCGACGAGGAAAGGCGATGTCAACAATCACATTGCTGAACATCACCGACTTACGAACCACACTATTGACTGTGACTCTGCGCAATGCCTAACCTACAGCACCCACTACTTTCAACGACTGACCCTGGAAAGCTGGTTTACTAACTTGGAACAGACTCCCTTCAACAGGTGTCAACCACTACTGGCACCATACAAACGACTCATTCACGACATTAACATTACAAACGAACCGAACAGAACGACCTAACTTCACTAACGGATCCAAACCGACCAATCACGACTGACTTACGCCACTTGAGTCTTACAGCCAATAACATCACGGCAAAACTGACCAATCAGTTTATACAAACCGGACTAAGTACATTCGACTGACAACAACCTTTCACTTGACTCTGATGATGACTTCCGCTCAGGTTGTCGAAACATCAGTCACCATTTGACAACAGTCCTTCTCAGGACTACACTCACTCGGACGATCAAACTACACTATTACGGGGAGAGAAATTATCCATATCTTTGAAAACGAAATGGGTTGTTTTGTGTCCTCTTTGCGCCAAAACGAATGGTGCACTTGTTCAATACTTATTGCGTCTTCATTGGGTTTCAGCCGTTCATTAAAAACTTTATGAGCTGAATGCTGAAATGTTAAACTCCATTGATTGGCTGCAAGTGAGTGTATTCCTTTGCTTTAAGGTGGTTGCTGAGTGACGTAAACGTGGTGCTGTGCTTAGGTTGTTAATCAAACTCATCACAGCGCCAGCAAAGCGCTTCAAATAAATGAGTGAGTCGTTTCTACCTACGTATAATCAGCAGTTAAAGATATCATAACTATTTGTATGCCAAAGCGACCCCTGCGTGTTCGAGATTTTGGTTTGAAACTATAATTTTACCCAGCATCGCGATGAAAGTTAATGTTAAACCTACGTAGGAACAGTGAAGATAAATAACTCCATAATAAGAAATAAATTCTGATTTGCTCGTAACGCCCTCTAAAGAATCTCACAGGCATTCCGAAATGGTTTTAGGATATACGCTTCTGCCTATACTATAGCAACTTAATTGCTACACCTCGTGTGCCACTCGCGTTTCGACCGGTTCTTAACTTATGATCTATTGGAGGACAGACGCCTAGATGACGTCCCGTACAAAACAAATAGATTCCACGTTGCAATCGTGGCCCCCAAATATTTTTCTCGCCTTGCCTAAAAAATTTGCAAAACATTTTTGAAGGGGCCCCGTAAGAGCTGCTAACCATGACTTGTGAAAACAGGCTTTTGGTATTAACTTGTGAAACTCCCTGAAGAAGTCTACGACAGTTAGACAAAACGCGTCGGAGAATAAAGAAGTTTTACAATTATTGTTCGTAAAGTGCTGCTGACTAGTTTAGTTTAAAAAAAAATTGTGATGGTTTCAAGCAGTCAACCCTTTAACCTCTAAGAGAGATTAGTAACTATTTCCTCCTATCAGTATTACTCTTAAAATAAACATTAAGGTCATGAGAATAAAGGAAATGATCATCAGCTAAAGAAGTTCTTGATTGTCACACAAATTCCCTTTGTCAGTATCATAGAAAATGTATAGAGAACAGTGTGGAGAAAATGCATACTGATGTTAGGGTGTAAAGGGTTAACAACACCTACCCTCTGATCATGGCAAACGATTCATCACTGGAAAAGTACGAGCTGCCCGGAAGGACAGTTACTGTTTCTTTACCTGCAAATATTCAAATCACACAATCATCATTACAAAATCGTGCAAAACCATTTTGATTCTACCTCCTCTCTTCCAGTTCTCAGAGGCGCCATTTAATGCTTTTGAAATGTCAATTAAAACGATAAGGGCAAGTTCATAATAATTAGTTGAATTCAATAGTCGTGTTGACCAGACAGGCATTAAGAATTGAGAATGACATCAACTTGCGGTGCGGCGTTGATATACCACCAAATTCTTAAGAAGAGCTGACAAAGTTTACAGTCATGGAAGACCGTCTGTATGGTAAAATGACTTTCAGTTGTTAGGAACACTAATGCGGAAACATCCTTACTCGCATTTGGTTACTTATAACCCTGTTTACAAGTCATGGTAAAAGGACTGAGTAGAGTCCAATACGGTCTATAACCACAGGAGTGATAACAAATCGGACTCCCGCTTCGCGGTTGTTCGATCTTGTTAATGACTCGTATGATTACAGACCGAATTGGACTCCACTCGTTCCTATTACCATTATTAATCATAAAAAATTACAATTTCCGAGAAAAGAAGAATAGCTAAGTTATGAAAGAAAGGGAAAATTTGCCTTAAAATACTGACAAAAGAGGCGTAAATTGTTTGATGTTGCTCTATGGTGATTGAAATTGTGATTGGTTGATTTAAACTACAACTTTGAATGTAATCGGCTTATTGATCTGTCCGATAACAAGCTTCTGATAGCTATGTGCCAAGTGAATTAGCGGAAAATAGGAGTTTTTTCAGCCAATCACAATCAAGGAAATAATAATTTTTATGATAAGTGTTTTTATCACACTCATGATATGTAAAAAGTATGTAGATTTCAAGACCAACAACAATCCACTAAATCAGTCAATCACTCAGTCAATCAATCAATCAATTGATCAATCAAAGAGAATTATAAATTCGATCTATTGACCAATCGAATTTTGCATCCATTCCAAATGCTAATACTTTCCAAAAATGGGCTCTCTTAATACAAACATGGTGCCTTGGCCCCGCAAACTGGAAGAATTTTTGTATTCTGTTTCAATAAGAAATTCCAACCCTCTCAAAAGTGTAGATATCAGATTCAATTCCTGTTCGTATGTGAAATATGGGCCCCAATCCCCCATGAACATGACCCAGGTGAAAATTGATATCCCAGTAACTGAGATTTCAGTTCTCAGTGTTCCCTTCATGAACACATGTCAATTTTTTTAATGAAAACAGTGGTAAGGTAAGGTAAGGTCTTTGAAACCAAGTGAGATGATGAAATACTGAAAAAGAGTCTACTGTTCGACAAGCATTCTGGAAAGACTAGGAATAAGGGGTGGAGGACTTTCTATGATAGAAGTGTTCAGCTTTTAAGTTTGAGGTTTAGAGCAGCTTTAAACCCAGTATGAAAGGCAGTGCAGAGTTGCAGCTATTTACTTTTGCTTATCCAAGATTTTTCATTTTTTTCAACTTTTCCACCTGCTTTTTAACCAGCAAGAAGCAAAACTAAAACAAATCATGATTAAAAAATCCCTTTTCCACACTTCAGGAAGGTTGGGTGTTTTAACTTTGAGTTTTCATGGCTCCTTGTAAAACCTTTGTTCCAATCAGTTCATGTGATTGTTTAGCCTTTCCTTTCTGATCAAGTGCAAAGGTTGTTTCTTTTACACACCTGCATTGATGAGGTCAGCATCTACCTCTCCAGGTCTAGGAAAGGGACCCTGAGGAAGTATTCACCCCAGTCAAGTAAACATAAGCTAAAATTAAGCCTTTAACTATCAATTTCAATGAAACAATGAGGAGTAGTTTTTCATTCCACAACCTTTAACCCTGTATCACACATTTAAGGTCACCAGAATAAAGAAAATAATCAAAGACTAAAGAAATGATTTTTAAATAGATTCTCCTTATCAGCACCTTATGAAATGTTTAAAAAACAGTATGGAGAATATGCATACTGATGTTGAAGGTGTAAAGGGCAAAGGTGCATGTTCATCTTTTTGCCTACTTTTGGCTGAGCTTCATTTTAACCAAATAATATGAAAGGGTTGTCTTCACATCACCAGTTTATGGAAAAAAGAACTGATATTAAGAGAAGTTACTTAATGAAAATGAATGTTCATTACTTCCAGACTGACAGGGTTGATTTACACCTCCATCAAAGTAACAGTTTCCAATTCAAGATTTCAAATTAATGGCATGCATTCATGGTTCAGATCAGACCACATTTTACCACTTTATCAAAGTGCTAGTTTTAATTCATTACAAATTTTGAATAGAGAGAAGAAGAACGCCCATGGCTGTTTCAAAAGGGAGTACCACTCAAATTGATTGGCTAACTCAACACACATTCAAATGTGATATTTATTCACACCCTTAAATAACTGACCCCTGGGTATATATTAGTTTCATCACAAGTCAAATATAATCCCACAGTATAATTCCCTATTAAATAGCCTGCAAAACTATTGATTTCCTGAACTGCTGAAAATAACAAATGCCCTTCATCTGACTGAAAAGTCCCAGAAAAAAACACTAGATTAAAAGGCTAAGCCAACAAAGGTAAAAAGGCAAAAATTGTAGCCACATCTATAGACTAACTTACCAGACCAAGAACTCCATTTTCACTTTGCAAAACTACATTCATTCCCTCAGGTATGTAGTTACTGGCTAACATAGGCATACCTATTCCAAGGTTTGCTAATATTTTGCAAAACAGTCAAGAGGCCAAACTGCAGATTTCACAGGGTAATAAGGACACAAAATACTTCACAATACAGCAAACAACAGTGACAAAGCTAAAAAGCAGTCAGGGCTCTTCCTTCCCCCTCCCCTCCCCTCCCCAGAGCCCTTGAACAACTGGGTCACACTTAGATGTACAGGTACATGCAGTGATAAAATGATTTGCGCACAACATGTTTTGGCTGCACACTGAAATAAACAGGACTATAAATAGTTGTAGGTTAACTGTCAGGGAAACCCAAGGAGAGGCAATTCTCCCTCCCCCTCCCCTCTTGAGAAACTGCAAATTAGAGTATAATAAAAAACAGCACTACAGATGGTTTTAATTAATTTTCCACACAAAACCGCATCAAGGATACCATACATTCCATCCTTGAACTCCAAAGCTGCTCTTTTTATGATTCTTTCTCTGAGTTCAGCTCCAGGTGATTTGGGTTTGTCATTGTCTGCTTCATCCTGGGTCACAGTTAACCTCTATGAAAATAGATTAGTTTGTCAGACAGTGAGTCAGTTATTCATGCCATCAGTTTCTCTGTGAGTCTGTTTTTCCATCCATCTGTATTGTATTGTAAGTTCATTTATTTTAGTCATTCAACCTGCCTGAATACATAATGATTCTAGACCATACCTCTATCCTTTTCTGGTAGTGTGAACCTTTCAAGATCCCTTGCACATAAACACCAGGAAGATGAACATCTTCCTCTGGAATTTCACCACTTTCCACAATTTCCTCAACCTTGAAAAATAAAAGAACATCCACTCATATATTATGATGATATAAAACCAGTACTTAGGTCAGCAAGGCTGGAAACATTTTCCTGGAAGATGACAGTCAAGTTGTACAGTCAAAACTATTTTTGCTTGGACACAACCCATTTTTGGCCTGACAAATATCCATTAAGTCATAATTCTCAACACATTATCCAAAGCATACATCCTCGCTACAAACAATGCATATTGTATCTTTGTGAAGATCTTACACTCCCTGTTAATTCCCGTAAGCTAAATCTTTATACAACATTTTACCTCTGCTATGGTGAACTTTGCAGCTTTTCCCATAGGTGCATTGAAATTTCTTGTAGTTTTTCTGATGATAATCAAAAAAATTATTCGAATGAAATTTTATCAGAATTACTGTAAATCTCTCCTGTTCCCAGTACTTCTTGATTAAAAAACTTACAATCTCCAAAATAAAAACATACTTAGCAAAGTAACATTTTTATTGCTAATTAAGATCATGGTTAAGAACCATTATGATGGCATATTAATTTGGAATAGTCCAAACCAATTCAACTTGCATTAGTTCATTTCTCTACAAAAGAGTCAAATGTTCTTTTGTACCTAAAAGTAAGATTCCCTTCCTTGTCAGCTTTCAAGGCTTTAATGAGAGCAAAGTCTCCAGTGATGGCCTCTTCCATGATATACTGACGATCATTAAACGTTCTTGCCTAGAAAAAGGAATCTGCAGGGTTACATATCAATTTACAAAACTGTAAGCAACTATGTTTTTTATGATTGTTTGCAAAAGTTTCTTACTACTTCTCTTAATTTTTTCAGCTGAGTCAGCACTTCAAGCTGTGACTTACTGTTTGTAATGGCAACTAGAGAAGATTTTGCCACCTAATTTTGCAGCATAAATCACCAATTTGTTTATCTTTGCTTATGTAGCAAGTTGCAATGATTTTATGTCTTGTTTTCTATGGTCTAAAGTCAAAGTTCACTATTCTTCATCACTTTCTGCAGTAACTGCGAATTGTTACAAAATTTTCACCCATAATAAATTTGGGATTGTGGCATGAATCTCCAAAAACATAAGCCAGCTGTATTGCTTGGAGCATTGTAAGGTCCTCTTTTAATCACTTTATCTATTACACCTGCCATATCCCACAAGATCAGTGTCTGAATTGGTACCTCTCGTTGTTGGCTAGCAATTTGAATGGACCCATCCTTGCTGTATTTTATAGGAGAGCCACCATGATGCACCAAGGTCCCATATCCGGTAGGGGTGTAGAAAGCAGGGATTCCTGCTCCCCCTGCTCTGATCCTCTCGGCAAGGGTTCCCTGACAGAGACAAAACACTAGATTATAGATCTGAATTGAAATGAAACTAGATTCTGTCTTAACAGTTTCTATAGTTCTGTGACTATCTGGTTTTCATTCTATCACAAAAGTTGTCTTTTATCGGCACCCTAAAGAAAAGGCATGATGAAATCATGTTTATCTCAAAATAACCATACTTAGTGCACTTATTTATTTATAACTCAATTTAGTATAATTGCTCTGCTATGCACTCTGAATGGTCAAGGATTGCATCATATCTCACTATAATCAACTTGTGCAAGGTGAAAATAGCAGGGGCACTAGATTTCAAAATGGCTGCCTCTTGTTTTCTCAGTATTACACAGGAAGTGATAAACAGAATAAAAGAAAATTATATACAATTCTGAAGAGCACAGAAAATTCTACAAAGTTTGGCATAATAAATCAAAAGAATGACGTGAAGGTTTTGCTGATAGAATTGAATAAAACTGTTTAATTCTAGTGGAAACCGACTTCTTATTTCTGCACAAGTAATCAAACATTGCAACAGAATGGTTTCAACAACAAAAAAACTTAATAACAAAATTCAAAAGCACATGTATTGAGTAATTATACAACACTGTAATAAAAAAAAAAAAACTCAATCACCTCGGGTGAAGTGAATGTTGTTGAATTCATGAATTAATCCAATTTGTAATCACCTTCAGCAAATAATTGTTCAATAATTACTAGATATTTCATTTTCCCCAGCATTCTTTCTTCTAATAATATACTCATTCATGTTTGAAGGAGAATTTCCATGTTCAAGAGCTCAATAATGTGATTTTCTTCAATGAGATGATTTCCAAGAAATAACGGGGAAAACTCTCCCAATAATCTGAATGGTTTTAAACCAAGGAAACAAATAGGTCACCTGAGGTGTGAGTTCCACCTCCAATTCTCCTGAAAGGTATTGTCGTTCAAATTCAGCATTCTCCCCAACATATGAGGAAATCATCCGTTTAACCTGTAGTGAAAAAATTGTTCAGCTCATAAAAAAATACAATTGCCAATTGTAGAGGAGTTTTAATCTGGCACTTATTATAATTTCTCATCAAAACACACCAGTTTTATCAACAAATGAGAGGGCAAGATTCACTCAGTTATAAATCATACTTTACAATGCAGTTGACTTAGCTGACCATACTGGACCACTACCGGCCAATCTGGCAACTAATTTTCAGGATTTAGTAGCCAAAGTGAAAGATTTAGTCACATTGGTGCCTGTATTAGGTGCAATTTCATGCCCTGCACTCCCCTTCCCCTTCCTCCTCCCCCCACTGTCAATATCAAATATGGTCTCAACAAACCTGTTTTGTTTTAAGAAGCAAGCCAAGACCAAAGTCATCCACCCTGGAAATTAATTCAACAATCATATAAATCAATAGTAATATCATAATGAATGACAATTCAAAATAATTGGTTCAGAATAATTTGTGACAGTCTGACTTATACTTGTGTTAGGTTCCATTTTGACTTCAACATAGCTTTATTTTGAGCAAGTTTTCAATGCGCTGAATTAGGACTGCAACTAACTGATCATTTCCCTACTGTTTGCAACAGTGCATGTTTTATTTAGTATACAGCTGTTTTGAAATAAAGGGGGTCAGAAAAAAAGGCCTAAGTATTTGAATATATCTGGTGATCAATTAGTTATATTTGGTCAAATAAATAAATATATTCATTAAACCCACACTGCCTTGACCTCAAGGTGACATTTTCCCAGATTTCCATGAAATTCTGAGGTCAAGGAAACATGACCTGAAAACTTTTAAAATAACTTTTCAGGGTTATCACATGCACTTACATCCTTTTTTCTGACAACCTTACTCTAAATAATTATGTATGGTACATAATTATGCAATTGACTTCATAAAATATGCTGGGCTTGTGATGGACTTAATTACCCTGCATTATTGCTGACACATGTCAAATCTTTTTTTCCTGTCTTCAGAAGACCATCTATCAGGTTCTCAGGAATTCCACACAGTCCAAATCCTATTTATAGTATGGAAAATAGGATATTCAACTTTATGTAACAAGTTTAAAATCATTTATACTGTACAGTCATACTGTTTCATCTAAAGTTGATTCAGAATTCCTTTATTCTACTGGCAAAGATCAGTGAATGTAAGGTACAAGAATTTAACCATATATTAATCGCTGTTTTTAATGTAACTTCTCTTCACAGTTTCAATATACTATCTAGCAAAAAGATTATGAAAACAGACGTACTTATCAACTCAAGAGAGTGTATCCCAAGAAAACACCAAAATCTGTTATGATTTTAACCACAAATATATAAGGGATGTTACAACTGCTAGTAAAATCCTGGGCATTTAAAAATTAATAAAATGGTCCTGTCTTAAATTTATTAGGCCACTATTGAGAAAAAAAACCTACTTATATCATTTAATGGAAATCATTATCTACATTGTGTCTCCTCTCCCCTTGGAAAGAAAAAGAAATATGATAAGGGGGAAAGTCAGTTCTAAGAAAATTTCATACAAAATATTTGCAAGATGTATTATTTTATTCCTCTTGCATGGAAATATGAACTGTATTGACCTCTTGTTAATTGAATACCAATCCTGTCTGTATATTTTCATTTACATACAGTAGTGCAACCCACATTCTGGTATTTAGACAGACTAAGAAAGACACAGATGCTAGGATAACTAGTTTTTATTGGGCTTCCTCTGTGTCCTTTGAGTTGTCAAGCTCATACATGCAGCCACAAGTGGGTCACGCAAAAACTTGATCCCTTTCCAACTTTAAATTAGGCTACATTCATATTATACGGAAAAAAACTGATACTGTTTGACAATCTGATTGCTTATTTTGTTCGCAAGAAAAACTGCAACATTTTCTCACCATTCATATGGAACTGAGCAATATAGTGGAATTTCAGTGTCTTTCAGTCATAGATTCATCCCTTTCCCAAAAACACATAGTGTTAGTTCAAAATGTCCTTGTTTGCTGAACAAACATAGAATTGATGATGGTACTCATACTTCAAACTAAATAAATCTAAGACTGAACAAACCTGTAATTTGTCCCAAATTTTAGAGTGCAATTTTCAAATGACTGGAGGCCTAAATTTTGGTATGATTAGAAATTGGTTTCATATAAATGGAATACTTGTGCATGTATTTTTCAGTGGAAGAAATTGGTTGACCACAGTGGCGGCAGTGGGCATAAACTTGAAAAAAAATTAAGCAAACACACACACTATATCGCACAATTAAACCAACCTCCTACTAGCAGTTTTGCACCATGTGGAATGTCTTTCACAGCTTCTTCTGCATTATTGTAGAAATGTAGATTTCTTGACGAACTTGTTGAGAATTTGCAACCTAACACAACCTATTTGAAAATACAAAATTAATTATTGTAGCTCCAACTTAATGCCAAGTGTGTCCTGACTGTTAACGTTTGAACTGTAACGCGCGTCACGCACGTCTAAGCTGATAAAGTCACGCTTTAATATTTTCCTTTTTCATTAAAGCCACAGGAAATAAGCAAAATTCAGTCGAATTAATATTTCTCTTTTTCAAGCAATTTACTCTGATTCGACACTGCTGTCTACTTTTTCTTTTGAAGAGAAGAACAGATTATCTTAGGTCCTCGATTATCAACGAATTGTTGAGGTCATCTTAGCTCAGAACGCGAATAATCAACATCACAACAGTTAACATGACGGCTTCATTGTGATATACAAAATAAAGCGAAAACAATATCAACCCGTATCGAAACATAATAAACTTTACTGACAACTTATCCAGTCACTCATTTCACTGGTGGCTCAAATTCATAATCGAACGTTTCTTTCGCATATGTACAAATCTTTACCACAATAATCATTCGAAAGAACCATAGAATTTTCAGGCAATAAAATGAATGCAAGGAAATAAATAAAGTTATAACTTACCAAAGGGTAGTTTCTGTGTTTTAAAAGGGGTTTTAATTTCAAAACTTTGTCAAAACCACACTTATTCAATGCCATACTTTAGCAACTGTTCTTCCAGTGTTTAAGCAACAAACCGAATGACTGGGTCAGCGGCCTGTTTTTAATGAAGACGAGCCTTCGAGAACACCCCTGCTCAAACTTCTGCGTGGGAGGGTGGGGATGTAGAGTGGCTGTTTGTCCCACCACCTGGGCGAACTTCTTATAAAGAATTAAGACGTAAATATATTGCCTTAATTCGTAATTCCGTTCGTCTATACACAGGCAGACCACACTATGTATTCGAGGTTAATAATTGCTGACATGAGACGAACAAAATCTATGAGGGTTATGAATATCTCATTAAAGTTTCAACGATGAAATGTCGACGTATTTGTGATATTGCAAATTGCTTTTGGCCGGGAGGCCGTTGAGAAAAGAAAAGGAGACAAGGCTTGCAAATTGGTGACCGCCGGCCGCGACCTCCTCCACTTCAAACTGAAATTAACGTTATACTACCGAAAATATTTTTCTACTCCTCGGGGATAAAAGGGGGTTTTCTAATGAGACGTTAGGCCGACTCGTGAAAACACATGATGCTACGGCGTTTTATTGCTCAGGAATTGCAATCAGAGTGCGCAGGTTTCCTCCATTCCTCCGTGATTAGCCTTCGTCAGGTTCTCTTGAAACTGCGGCCCGAATGAGGGCGAGTCTGTCGTAAATACTAAGACACTTGGAAAAAAAGGGCTTTGCTTTTATAAGGAAACAAAGCAAAACTTACAGATGAAAACAGGATAGTTTAATTTTATCAACTGAGTTTCTTACGTAAATTGGACAACATAAAAAGTTTAAAAGCTGACATTTCGAGCGTTAGCTCCAATCCCTCTGACGAAGGGCTAGCGCTCGAAACGTCAGCTTTTAAACTCTTTACGGTGGCCAAATACCGTTTTCAACTCAGTAGATAATACCCTTTCATGATACTCTCCCACCACAGTTTAATTATTTAGAAACTTACCCTCTTTACAGATGAAAAGTATGAAAACAACCACGATCATTACAATCTATAGTTGACATCCTTTTCATAAATCTACACAGTTCAGAGCCTATTCAATTAATGTATTCACTGCTTCAGGAGCTTTCAAGTATTTGCTATTCTTTAGTTTCGGTCCTTTCTTAGCCCTCTCGCTCACTGCGTTTTTTCGCAAATTTCACGGTCTTTTTTGCAGCGTGCTTAGGACCGTGGCGGTAGATAATTCTCAAAACATTTAACAACACTGTCTTTCATAAAGCAACTCTGCCTTTCCAAGTGATATTTCTATCTTTTACGAAGGAATCACACAACTCCAAACCATACATCCGAGTTATCAGGAAATTTTGTAGCTGAATGGAGCTGCGTTTCTCGAACACAACGGTGTACCTCAGAAAGAGCTCAGTGTCTCTCAGTTCCAATCCTGACTCCGCAAAGAAACCGTGGATCACGGCGTTTTTTCTACTAAGCAAGGCTAGAGCCGCTATAACATTTAAACCTCCTTAATTCGTTAAAATTATTTCCTTCCATTTTTCTCATAATGTAATTTATTATTTAGCGTTTATTTTTCCTTAGTTTTATCATTTCTATGTTATATAACTTCGAATGGTGGATGTAGAGCTACTCGGTAGAGATTTCGCCAGTAAATCATTATTATTATTATTATTTGTAACCGAAGTCACTCGTAATTGTGTTTATAATTGATTTAAAACATGGACAAGCTTACTGTACCAAACATCAGCAGGAAAATGTATTTTAAATAACGAAAGCTTACAAATAAACTCACAATAAACAAAAAAATTAACCTTAACAGTGTATAGCTTTACAGGCAAAAACATCAACTCAAACACCAACCACAAGTGCACAATGCAACTAATGAAACGTTCAAACACACACAGGTAATTAACACGTAAACGTAATACATACAGGAAACGGTGTGACAATAAGTTTCGCGATAGCATTAGTGTAAGGTTTTCTTCTGGAACCATTTCATATCAGCTCAGCTCTTCTTTACACAGCTCGAACTTCTGAAATGCTTCAGAAACCAATGGTTTCTTCTTCCGTGTCGTGTCCCACTGCACATCAAGAGCGTGATCGATTGGTAAATCGTCGAGGTCAAAGTTAAGGTTTCCTTAGGAACCGAAGCAAAGGTCTCTCGACGATTATTAATTATTTTAGTTAAGTAGAAGCCTAGTCTAAACAACGTTTTTGAAGGCAGGGGTCCGATTACTCGTGGGGAGGAAAACTTTGCTCAATACTTTTTAAATCGTCGTTAGGGACGGTTATACGAAGGAATCCCTACTAATTTAAAACTTGAAAAACAAAACGAAGCCTTATCAGGTAGTAACCATGGTACCAGAAAACAATTTGGTCACCCTCAACACTAAATGCCACCTGAAAAGAACTAGTAATGTTTGCTACCGTTCAAATATCAACTGAAGTTTCTCTTTAGTGTTTTAAATAGCTCCAAGCTGGGTAGATTGAGCGCGCCTCAATACGCAAGGAATTGAATGAAAGTTAAAAGTATCATTTCTGTATGTAAATGAGTTTTGAAATTGGTTTGTATTTGCATCATTTTCTTGAGGTAAGCAAGGGAAATCTCTTTCACAAGTACCTTTTTAACGTATTATTCATGTAGTGAACAGGTTCTTCATGTAGATGCTTGTATCCACTTAAAGACTGTATTTTGTCATGGTTAAACTTCTCAGGACAGCAGTTCGATGAAAAGTCATGATCCCAGTCGATATTGATGTTAACATCTCCACTAATTTTTCCAATGTTTATTTTTAGAGAATAAACAATTTATCACAAGCCTTTTTAAAATCAGCGGAGATTTGGATCAATGCAAGAAACAGGATAAAAGAGAATCAGGCTTTGCGAGAAGAAGAAACCTTGCCATGGCTATTCCTTGGTTTCCAAAATGTGGGTATTGTTTTTTCGTGGCATAACGTTTCTCATTATCTTAGTAAGTACACTTACTGCAAAACAGCAACCAATTAAGAACTACCTCAATTCAAAGGTCTTTATCGTACACCTGGTTGAAATTATTTCTCCATTTGGGTCAGGGTTACTTATTCTGCTGCTTATATTACATTTTGACGAAGCAACTGAACTAGGTCTGTTTTACAACCAATGGTGTGTTAATAGTGGAACCAAATAGATAAATTTGATAACTGACCTAGTATATTCTCGGCCGATTCAAACCTGATCCATAAACACGACGGTCGTGCGGATTTTAAAAAATGGATCACACCAACCCATCTCTAAATTCCATGGTAATCCTGTGAAACTTGATAAACTAAGAACTCACTCTGTATTTTTTCACCTTCCACTCTCTAACGTGCAGCCGTGAAGTATTATGTGAAAAGCTTGCTGTCTACGATCATAATTTTAAGCCTTTTGGGAGTCATATTTTACTGGAAAAGCTCTTTCTTGGAATACGATTATAAGCGACTTATTCGTGCAAACAAGCCATTTATGCTGAACAGTATTCAAGCCTCATATGATGTAAGAAAGAACCAATCAACGACGTGCCACAATGTACTGAGCCTAATGCGAAATGCCAGATGGGTGAAACGTATGACTGTAACAGCAAGAGAGGAAATTCAGCAAAGTAATACGGAGCTTCAGATTCGTAAGAAACGTGGGTTGCCTCTGATCCTACATAGAACTGACAGAAGATGTGGAGGCAAACCATATTTCCTCCACGCTCCCAACCTTGATTTAGAAATTCCCGCTCTCTGTGACGTTACAAGTACAGCACCTTGCTGCAACCACAAAACAAAATGGTGTGGGGCTGGACCCAACAACTGCAACTGCCATAGATGTACTGACTATAGGGAAGAGATTTCCGCCGAACTTTACAACTGGGTTCCGTTTGATGGCTGCATATTCGCCAATTTCACCACTGAAAGAGCCTGCAGTCTCACGTCAAGCCGAGTTTCGAGACTGATTCTAATTGGAGACTCTTTAGTAAGACATCTTTTTAACGCGTTGATGATTTTGTTTACAAATGATAAGGAAAGAGGAAGTTTGAAACGAGTGCAAGATCCTAAGGTAAAGAATTGCCGAGGTGTTATGCAGTTTGTCGATGGGGGTAAAACTGCTTGTCATAACAAAACCCTGACAAGTATTCCGGTCGCAGATGAAACATCGTTTTGTCAGGGAAAGTATAATTTTGATTTTGCCCTCAAAGAATATCACAGCATGAACGAGGCGCCAAATATTTTGGCCACTGTTCGCCGCAACATAAATAGAGAGAGAACAGTTATTGCTGTGGGTGTTGGACTTCATATGGATTTAAACGCAGAAACAATACAAACGCAAATCATGGATCCTTTGCTTAATATCAAGAAATCCAATGGTGCAACGTGGCCGTATATAATATGGCTTTCAGTGCACGCTCTTGGAAGTGTAAAGGATACAAACTACGATGTCCCATCTGAAAACGATCGTGTCGCACGTTTTAACTTGAGCATGGAAAAATATCTATCAGCTTACGGCATTCCAGTGTTTGATACTTTTAGTTTGACTAATGGCGTACGGAGTATAGATGGCACACACTTTGGGATGGGACTAAATATGGTTAAAGCCCAGCTTTTTCTAAACTTCATACAAGAATCACTTTAGACAGACAAAAATTAAATTTATCTTCCTTTAAAAAGGTCTATCAAGTCAAAGAGTGAAAGGAAAAAATATCAAAATACTAAAAAGACAACAGGTAATGGAATGTTCTTTTAAACAAAGAGTTTTGCGCGAATGGATTCAATCTGCGTATTGAGACAAGGATTGCGCTGCTTGATGAAAAGCATCTTATCAAGTCGGGTAAAGATGGAACGTAGCTCGGTGCATTTTTGATTGAAGGCTTCAGTCGTTGAGGACAGAGCATATGCACGATGGATCGTTGTTCTGAGCAAGCAATCTTTATAGCGCTTGAGGATACAAGCCTCCTCAAAGAAAGCCAATTCCGTATTCTAAAAAAGTGCCAAGGAAAATTTAACTGTTTTGTCTATGAGATGCTTTTCATCATGCAGCGCAACCCTTGTCTCAACACGAAGACCGATTCCATTCGCGCAAAACTCTTTGTTTAAAAGAACATTCCATTACCTTTTGTCTTTTTAGTAATAAAATATTTTTTATCTTTCACTCTTTGACTTGATAATAACGTTAGCCAAACGTCGAAACGTCGTCAACATATTTTTAATATGCTTTTATGAAATGTTCTATCGCAATTTTTTATCGTTAAATGTTTCAAAAACCGCTTCTTTTTCGTATATTTAAAGATGTCACCGATAGAAAGGCACAAGAATAAGTTTTGCTCATAGCTATGCAAAAGTGGAAGTGAGGTGATGTGAAGATGCGATCTGCTAATTTCTCGGGGTTAGCACATAGGAGTCTGAGGAGTGCATTTCATGCAATCCGACAAAGATGTCAGACCGATGGTTAGATATGGCAGACTACTTGAGGAGATCTGTTCACTCTGACAGAGCTCATGTTCGAAACACCAGCTATGGAAACTCTTTGCGGTGGCCAATTTACATCGTCTGTGGGAGTTAAGTTCTGAGAAAGACTGTTCTAGGAAGTAGTGACTGATGTTTCGACGACCTGAGCGGAAATCATCATCAGAGTTTAGTAAATAGTTGTTGTCAGTCGAATATTCTAAGGCCGGTTCGTATATCAACTGATTGGTCAGTTTTGCCGTGATATTATTGGCTGTAGGACTCAAGTGGCGTAAGTCGGTCGTAATTGGTCTGTTTCAATCCGATGTTAAAGTTAGGTCGTTCTGAGTGTCCAGTCGGCTTGTAATGTTAGTCATGAATAATGCGTTTGTAAGGTGCCGGTAGTAGTTGACATCTGCTGAGGGGCGTCTGTTCTAAGTTAGTAAACCAGCTCACCAGAGTCAGTCTTTGAAAGTAGTTAATGCAGTAGGTTAGACATTGCGTAGAGTCGCAGTTAATAGTGTGGTTCGCAAATCGATGTTGTTTAGCAATGTGATTGTTGACATCACCTTTTCTCGTCGCCCGCTTGTGTTCAGCTGGTCTTATTGTGAGGTTTCTGCTGGTGTCTCCGATGTACACTGTAATCCTACTAGATGTTCAGTTGCAATTTACATAACCTAAGACAAGGGAAATTCAAAGCCAGGAGATTTCCTCGAAGAAAACAAATGATCCTAAAACACTGACAAATGATGACCTTCAATCCAAAATTAGGCTATGCTACGAAAAAAAAAAAAGCATGGCTTGGGGACCCAATATCACCCAGCATACCCGTGTTAGTATGTATTAGTCAGAGGCAAAGCACGACGAGACAAACTGACTTCGGAAAAATTTCCACCTTCATATAAATAGATGAAGGAAATTTTTGTCCTCAAGTTTTTATTGCATATGACTGTCCACCTTTTTTGTTAATCATCAATGTGAAATGGGTTATGCCTTTGTTGCCCAAGAGTAAGAACTGCGTACATGAAAATTTGTATGTGTAACTTATAGCTACTTTAACACGTTAGATTAATACCTGACCTGTGTTTCCTTTACTTGATGCGAATTCTAGCCCGTTGTAATATAACGCGAGCGTATCGTGCATTTGGCTGCATCTAGGGCTGGCGTTCAAGGGATATTTATGTTAAACTGTTGGGGTTAACCAGTTTGAGCAACTGGCGCAAGAAGAGGCACAACGAGTCTGTTCAGGAACTTTATTTCACTCTCTGAGACTGACTCTCTTTCACTTAGTGCAGCCCTAAGTACAAAATTTAAATATCCTATGGGTAGCCATGTTTGGGCTTACGGGACAACTGGCCTTGGCAGAGTATTTAAGAACAATTAACCCAAACAAAATATATTAAAGTTAAAGTAACCCAAACAATTTCATGACACATTCGAAATGAAAAAAAAAGTACTTGAAAAAACAACCAATCTTCGAGAACTAAAACGCAAACAAAACACCCCGTTGAGGATTCTAAGCAAGGTTAAGGATAAACTCAAACACGACTAGCGATGACGATATTTGTGCGAGAATTAAACCCCACTACAACGGTGCAGGACGCATCACTAAGAAGATAAAAATGAATGCCGCGTAGTTTTGCAGCACATGACAAACCAAGGCTCTGAAGACTCGCAGAAGGATTTCAAGATAATCTAACAAGCCTGAACAATTCCCAAACACATAGCCATCCTAATTTCAGTAGTTCTCAAACAGTTCTAAATAAATGTTTATATTTCATAGCATTTCAGTTAATTTACATTCGTAAGTGAGTAGTTATTTTGCACGAAGTGGATTTGAAATAAAAGGTTTAAAAAATTCTCCAGTTTGATTCCACTTGATACTGCAAGGCCTTAAGATCACTTATGTCCTTGTGACACCGTGGGCGTTTATACTCACCTCTTCAAAACTCACCTATCCTCTTCATAAGATGGAGTACTCGGTAAACCGATGAAAAATGCGGTTTATTTCCTATGTAAAGTGGACAATAATCTGTCAGATAAGGAAAGAACGAGCACGACTGGCAGAGAAAGGAGAAGATTGATACGGAGTTGAAATGACAAACTCCTACATTGTATTGAGTCTTAATGGGGTTGACCGTCGTAAGCGTAAAAATCGACAAATTCTAACCGTCAGTCATTAAAAAATAAACCGTTAAAATTAATTCTTTTAATCCCCATGAAAATTAAGCGTTAGCCGTAAAATAGTCAAAATTTAAATCATTAGCCGTAAAAGCCATCACCCCAGCAAGGCCCTCATTGTGGGGTTGGGGTCCTAGTGTGCATACACTGTCACGGAGCTCTTACACCTGATTGTTAATTCTCCGCTCTTGCTACTACAGATTTCCTTGTAAACAGTTTCGAGAATTTGGTGTTAGACCAAGACAACATCTACCTGATAAGTGTGAGTATTTTCATTACCTGTTTGCTAGATAATGCACGGATATCCTAGTGAGAAGTAACATGTCAATCACTTTTAGGAGTTAAGGGTCAAATCGTTTTGTTTTTGTAGCGGTCGAGTGATCAAACGGTGATCCCCGTTGTCCTGCAGGTTGTTATTTGATTTTGTGATTTGATACAAGACGGCCACCTGTACATGTCAACGCAGATTGAATTTTTTGTTTGCGGTGATCATTTTAATTTTCGAATATGCCAAAGACTAGAATTTAGCGACCAAAATTGCGCAGACGGAAGAAGAACTTCGAATGGCGCCTTTACGATAGGGCGCCTTAGAGGTGATTCGACATTACATGAGCGCAAACGTTATGGTTTTCATTTTAATATTTGATCGTCTACTGACAAACATTTGATTGCGAATCTTACGGTGATTTTTTTTTCTCGATAACAAAATTACCTCCCATCGTATCAGTGATCAAAATATTCACCTAAGAGTTTCCCTAATGATTCACCGTGAACACTGAGGGGAGAAAGTAGCTGGTGGTGTGTCTTCAAGTTTCCTGTTAAACCTTCATAATGCAACAGGTTTCAGAGTGACTATCTTGTGGATTTCCAGCAAGTAATATCACAACCAGTTACCGCAACACATAAGGTAAGTGCTTCAAACCTTCAAATTCTTAAGTAGACTAACTTCGGGTATACGAATTACTTTGAATCCTTTGAATCTTAGATGAATGATAGAGGGCCCGAGTGACATATGTTAATTACTTTTTTTTTTCAACGATGACATGCAGTATTTTCTTTTTTGAGATTTTCCTTTTGAAAATTGCCATAGAAGTACAGACTCTTATATGGTAAAGCGGCAGCATATGTCACTGCAAGTCCAGCAAAGCAAAATACGTCACTGAAATATTGAGTCGTTTTCACGAGCACCTTATAAGCAACGTGTAAGAAATTTTTATTTGCCGCACCACAAGCATGGAACAGAGAAAAACCCAAGTATCAAACGAGATATTGCATCTCAGACCGTCACATTTTGCGCGCCAACGTTCTTCCACTGAGCAACAGACAACGTTGATAATGAGCCATGTTATATGCTAAGTTGATGTGTGACACGAGCCCTGCTTTCTGCTGGGATCAGGGCTAGGATCAGTGCTAGGATCAGGGCTAGGATCAGTGCTAGGATCAGTGCTAGGATCAGTGCTAGGATCAGTGCTAGGATCAGCAATGTCGAAGAACACCGTGTGTGTAAATGGAAAAGAAAACTGGCAAATTTTTAGCGCGCTGCTGGAGTAAAGAAAGATACTATTCCTTTAGAAACGAGCTCAGTAAAATATGTTAATTCATTCGACGAGCTAGCCTAAACTTTCTCTTATTTCTGATCCAAATTGTTATAGTCGCGGGAAAATAATGCATTTATTTTTAACGCTTGTACTGATTATAAAATAATTGTGGGATGTTTCCTTTTTTTCTCGTTTTGCTATTTTTTTCTTAGGTTTAGAGCGTTATAAGAAAAAACTGCCCATTCTACCAAGGCCAACGATTATGAAAACTCGATGAAACCTACCTTGATATTTCTGCTGTTGCAGTCCTGCATACTTCTGGCGGCACAGAAAGGTAAACCAACTTAATTTTCAGTTATTACCAATGGTTATTACGTGTATCTTGTGATAAACGCTCGTTCTAGTTGGCTACATGAGGCGGCGAAGTTGGGCATCAAGTTTCTGTTATGCCCATTGGCTGACTACAGATTACGGATCCTTTAACACTACAGTACAGAATAATTTTTACGCCTCCAATTATCCTTTGTCTGGTAACAGGCCAATAGTTTATTGACATGATACATAGGTGGTAGTTCATTAACTTTCCTTTTCCACTGTCCTAGTTTATGATTACCTGGGCTGCTGGAAAGACGACAACTCTCTTCCACAAATAAGATTGAACCTGCCAGAACGACAGTCACACATTTCACTACTGCGTCAGTGTTCTAAATCTGCTTACTCGCACGGGTTTCCAGTGTTTGGAGTCGTAAACAACTCAGCATGTGTAGGCAGCGTTCATGGAGCACTCACCTACATGCGGTATGGTCCCTCCACTAAATGCCACAATGGCACAGGGGGGCTCAGCGCAATGGATGTTTACAGCTTGGATGGTAAGACGAAATCCCTGTGACCTGTGAAATGGTTTGACAGCCTACTTCAGGAAACACTAATATTGACTATTTAACCCAGTTCATAAGTTACCTCACGGACATGTTTGGTCGTAGGAAGGCAGAAAGAGCGCAGTTGAACATGGTTTAATACTATGAAGGATAGATCAGCTTCTAAACTTTGCCTCCCTTTGACTTAGTTTGTCCTTCTTCTCCAATAGTTCAGTCACTAAATTCTGTGATTTTTTTAGAGGAAGGGAAACCTAAAAGAGAATATAATGTACCCACACCTACCGGTACCACCGTCTATTTTGACATAGGCAAGAACACGAGGAATACGAAGGAAAATGCCGTAACGTAGTTACCGAACAACAATGACTTGAAGAATTGCGCCATGCTTGTTAAAGGAAATTTACGAAACTTTCTAAACTGTCTTTATTGTCTTTATTGTCTGTGTTGTTGAAGGCCCATTTGTCAGTGAACCATCCGTGAGTTTTTTTCCAATGAAGCTCCGCTCTACATTTTTCCAGATGACTCTGGTTTCATTTCTTAAGATGTGGCCCTCTTACACTGATTGGTGTTCTCTATACTTTAATGCCCTCTTAATAAAGGTACCACCGGAAGCAAGCGTCTCTTTTATGAAGAAGACCAAGAGAAGAGAAATTTCATCAGTGATTTGTATAATTCTGCTTACGGAGATCATGTCTCAAATAATGTGATGGCCGCGTTAAACAATGCCTTGGATCAAAACACGGTCATTCCTGTAAATGCTGCGCGACACCCATTGGTTAAGAATGGTCGAGTAAAGCCACTTATGTTACAGCCTCTATTCAAGGAGATTGACGAAAGTGACTTTAGAGGTAGGAGAGTGTCCCATCAACTTAAATTGGGACTCGAGTTAAAATTTAAATGTACACTTTTTGAGTTAGCTTTGAACTCTAACGTCGTAGAGTTCTGGACTGTGTGTTCTCCACATTTGTAGACCAATTTGCCTTAAGTGAATTGAGATTTATC